ACGACCAACATTGATAATTGTATAACCTTTCCCAACAAATGTGGCATTGAAGAGTTTCACAAATGGCGTGTGCCTTGCAAGTCAGTTTGGAGTCGTGCTGCAATTCGCCGTTCTTCCACGTTTTGATTGAGACAAGACGGTCGTACATTATCAAGGCGTTTGGAAATATTATTGACTGCGATGTCCAATTCCTTAGGAAGACGCAGCAGTTTCTGATACATACCTCTGCGACTTCAACTGTGTTGTCAGTGTTCAGAGTTACTCCACCAAGTGAGCACTCCCTTTTCAAAGCAGAAACCTGAAGATGCTTTTCCTTCTGCGACCTTTTCTATGCCATGAAATACGTTGTCCTTATAAATGTTCCGGAGTAGATTTGAAGAAAGTAGCGTTTGCTGAGTCGTGAGGTGTTGATGAATGGTCCCGGAGAGAAGGAGTGGAGAACATATCAATCCGATGGGTACGCGAGTGAACCGATGAGTAATGACGTTATCGGTAAAGGCTGGTTTCGTTGGGTCTTTAAGCTATAGGAACCGCGTGTAATTTCTTGAGTTTGGGTGAAGTCCGACCATCAGGAAGGCCTTTTCGACATCGCTACTGATTAGGATTTTTGGAAGTCGGCAGCGTATCAAGATTCCTGTAAGGTTTTGGAGGAGTACGGGGCCTCTGTGAAGCATTTCGTTAACGTTGCTTGCGTTGCTCATGCTTCCCTTTCGTTGGCCGAACCGTCGAATACACAGCGGAGTTTAATTTCCATTTCGTTCCTTTTTACTACTCCGTGATGAGAAAGATAACGGCAAGGGGATCGTGAATCGTTTTGGAACCTTTTTAATTATGCCCTTCCTTGATTGGTAGACGATGATATCGTGATATTTCTTCATATAGACGAGATTTTGTAGTAACGTTCTTTGGAGTGTTGCCAACCTACAGTATGCCATTGAGTAAATGTCTGGAAGATGCCGAGGATCTGCTTTGAATGGAAATTTACGACGTATCTCTTATCATCGATCGTATGATATGCTGTCGTTGAAAAATTTAAGACATACGTCATCATCCTTCTGGCTTGGATCATACATGATTCCCACTGACTCTAGGGTCCAAAATTTGTGCACAAGTTCCGTCAAGGTGTCGCAGTTAGCTGGATGCTCAACGCTGTTGTCAGATAATTAGATAGGTAACTGAGATTGAAGATTTTACCAATTATGATGTCTCCGTTACTGGTGTGCAACAATCGGGAGCCGTTCGAGAGTGATTCACAAGAGAAGTCGTTGGTAAGAACAATGTCTCAAAAGTAGTCGTTTCCGATTAGGAGAGATGCCTGTGAGTTGCACATCTTTACAGCGCTTCCATTGGTTGTCTTCTCATGTCGGGCAAATGCGTCCGGTTAACATAGGTACTGATTCGGCGGATAATTGTTGTGTTCCTGTCATGGTTTGAATTCCAGTCAAGTGATCGTTAGAAGTGACGTGTAGTGGTACGTCCGTTCCGAAGGTAGATATAGAGACATATTCAGAGTTCAGCACTGGTAAATTTAGAGCTTCCGCAACGTTATTGCATATATATGAGTGACTTGAGGCGGAGTCGAGAAATGCTGTGAAGTCCATAGTTTAAGATTTGTCCATTGGGTTGAAAACAGTTACTGTTGTGCACATGAGTGTAGCTGCAGAAGACTTTGTAAGTGCGGAAGAGTTTGATGTAATTATGACTTCATCTTCTTCGTCCCCATGTTCTTGCGCACTTCCTTCTTCATCATGATTTTCAGAATTCTGTGCAGCCATGTGTATGAAGCGTTGGCGGCTACTCGATGAAGTGCCATTCGAGGTCGAAGTGTGGTGCGATTTGATGCCGTCCTTGTCTGCTTCTCAGCTTGTGTCAGGCNTCGATTCGAAAGACAGTTATAACATAGACGACGCTCTCTCACGTGTTTGATCCGTCGTTGTGGTGTAGTAAAGGTGTCGCAGTTGGAAAAAAGATGTTGGCTTGACATGCAGAATGGACAGGCCTTCACTTGTTGTAGGTTGTTGCGCGGTTTAGAAGCAGATGATCGGTTTCCTCAAGCCCTGGAGGACATAAAGTTCGTTTGGTGTTGTTGCTCATCCATCGACCGTATATGGAAGGACATTTCAGATAGAGTTGCGTCCTTGCGAACTACATCAGTCAAGATATGAAGTAGTTCACTTGGTGACAAATTTTGAGAGGTTTATGAGGTTATAAAGACTGTGGAGATGTCGTCCTTCGGGATCGCAGGGAGGAAGATCGGCCAACCTTGAATAGAGTATATGTTTAGTGGTTACCTTATCATCGTAATGTGTCTTCAGAATGTCCATGGCGATTTTGTAATTCTCAGATGTCACTGACAGTCCTTGTATGGAGTTCAATACGGGCCCTCTCAAGCATGATATCAGGAGTGAAAATTTGGTTGTGTTGTCGAGTTCTGTTTTGTTTCCGACCAAAGTTGCAAAGCGAGACGAGAATTCGGGGCACTCCAAAATATTTCTGTCGAATGTAGGAAGTTCCATTTTGCTCAATATTGATGCGTCAACAAAGCTGAGAAATGATGCATTGGAAGGCGGCGTGAGGGTGTAGTGACTCACCTTGGACATGTGGCTCTGTCTGTTGGTCGGCGCTGCCAGATCATGTTGGTTCGTATTGACATTGGCGTGGTCATTGACGATGGTAACGTATGAAGAACCGGAAGAGAGGTTTATGTTGCGTTTATTAAGCTTGTTATCGTCGGTCGTCGAGAGGAAGATCGAGTTCTTCTAGGTGAGTAACCGCTTCCGATATTGCAGTGCGGTAGTCTCCATACTTTGTGATATAGTCATGAAATGACTGGGCTTCGTCGGCATCGGATTCTTGCTGTTTTGCCCATTCGTCGTGGAGAAAAGTGACTCGATTGTAGGCCTTGAGTAGATTAGACTTTATACTGTGGACCTCGAAGCGAAAGGATTCCAGCTGGTTGTCGTCCAAGTGCGTGAATTCTGGGTTCTTGACAGCAATTTCATAATCCTTAAAGGTTTGAGTAACTGACGTGCAGCATCGTTGAATTTGTTTCTTGAGGAAGCCGATTTGCCAATGAGTTTTAACGCTGTCGAACATAGCTTGTCGAAATAGTTGAGTCGAAGTTGGAATCAAAGGGGTGCTCTGGGAATAGGAGGTTAATGTTCGTCGTTCTTGACGCAGGAGTCAGAGGGTTGCCGGTGTAGGCGATGTGGAGATGTGTCGTCGTTTCGACAGGAGTGATGACTGGTGTAGAGTTAATGGGCAGAAGCCGCGAAGGAGAGGGTTGATGATCGTGTCAGGTTGTTGGGCAGTAGCCGCGAAGGAGAAGTGTTGACGATCGTGTCTGATGAACGTTGGACGAGTACGACTTCTTGGAAGGTTTATTTCACCAGAGCGACAAGCTCGTTTGTTCCAGGTTTTTATATCAATCAGAAATGATAAGGATTGAAGTCACAGTCAAAACATATTTC